GATTGGTGATATATTATATAGAATAGTGATTTTGACAAGGTCATTAGGCATTTACTATAAACTCTTGGAATATAAATTCTCAGTAAATTGGGGTAAAGACAAATCACTTAGGCAGGTCACACTTGAATCTTCCTTGCAAAACTTTTTATAGATTCTTATTAATAGATCAAGTGATTCTTTATTAATACAGGTATATGTAGATTTATAAATAGTTTAGCTTCTACAGAATAATTCTATACCAATTTATATAATAAAGAAAGGATTGCTAAAACAAAAAAAATAATATAAAAATATATAAAATAGTTATAATAATAATTAAATATAACAAGCCACAGCCACACGTGTCCTAATTTTATGTGTACATATGTACATATATATATATACAATGATAGACATTTAACAAATATCACGTGAACAAGCCGGGGTTAATGCATAAACTGTTAGAATTCGATACTATCGTTATTTTATAATTTATGTAACCACAGCCCCTATTATTTACACTAATATAATAATTTATTATTAGTGTAATGATCGTATTATTTATTAGCATAACGATCATATCATTATATTTATTATATGCTCCCTTATAAGTTACAGTATGCTTCTAGGAAATAAGATTATTAAGATCGTGATGTATTAATATTTATATTAATAACTCATGACTAATTTATTAGCGAAACTTATTGTGTACTTTTAGCTTCATATATTTCTTATAAATTCACAAACATTTTTCCTATATAAAAACAACAACTTGTAAGATTAATAAAACAAAAATAAAGATAACAATTTAAATAAAAGAATAAAATCGTTTACGCTCCTTAAGAATTACAAGGAAATTAACTCAATTTCTCAAGTATCTTACAATTTGGTAGCAGCAGACTTCATCCACATACTTATACACAAATACCCTCATATACCACACATACTAAACATACCCACATTGCTTTTTTTTAATTAGTACAATGGACAACTTATTAGCTGCCATCACCATATTGATCCAAACTCAACAAGGATTGACAGATGCCCTCAACATAGGAGAGAATGCAAATACCAATACAAATATAGCACAGCTTGTCCCTAATAATAATAACAACACCCCAAAGATTAGTATTAGAATCCCAAATTACAAAGGCGAACCACAAGAAAATATTGTTGCCTGGCTATATTATACAGCCACGGGATTCAAAGAAGCTGCTTTGCATTAGTATTTAAATAAAGTTACAGCTGCAGGAGACAATGCTGTATTTGATATATAGAATGACTTTGCAACAGCAGTTAGACGTGCTTTTCAATCTCTAATTATCAACATTATCTTCGTCAACAGCTCAAAAAGTTACGACAAACTGAGTCTGTCCAGGACTATAGAATACAATTTCGTAATATCATAGGACAAATCGAAGACATGAATGAAATTGATAAAGTTACTTACTTTATCGAAGGCCTTAAACATGAAACTTGAATGGAAGTTGCCTATCAAGCACTAGCCAACTTGGATGAAGCATGGAACTTAGCAATTTGGTTTGATACTGCAATGTTTGAAATGGAAAGGCCCTCTACTACCATTCCT